ATAGGTATATGTATGTATGTATGTATGTAAGTATGTATGTATGTATGTATGTATGCATGCATGTATGTATGCATGCATGTATGTATGTATGTATGTATGTATGTATGTATGTATGCATGTATGTATGTATGCATGTATGTGCGCATGTATGCATGTATGCATGTATGCATACATGCATGTATGTACGTACGTACGTACGTACTTGCGTACACATATATATATATATATATATGTGTATACACACACGTATAGATCAGCACATATACGCACGCATCCAGGGGCGCCGATGGTCCGTGCCTCCGGCGAGGCTCCCAGGCGAGCGCGTTGTAACGCCCGCCCTCGGGCTGCATCCGCCCCACCGCCGCCTCCCGCGACCTCGCTTCATCCGGGAGGGTTCCCAAGGGAGTTTTTGGGAAGTGGGCTTTCCAGAGAGCCCCCCAGGGGCCTCGGAACCTCGTCAAAACAGGGGGTGCGAAGCCCCTGGGGGACCCCTCCTTCGCGCTCCCTGGGGTACCCCTCGTTCCCAAGGGCTCCCAGCTTTGCGCTTCGCGCTGCGCGAAGCGCGAAGTGCGAATCACGTCGCGCCCTTGCGCCGCCTCCCAGGAGAGGAGAGGAGGAGGAGGAGGCATCGGAGCCGAACAGGCGAAGCGCAAGGGTGCGAGCAACTTCGCGCCCTCGAGGGCGCCCTTGATCCCTCCCCCGACGTGAGGGGCAACGATAGGGGGGACTGGCATAGGGGGTGATGCATCGACCTGGAATCGGCGATACGTCGCCGATGGATCGGCGATAGGCCTCCGACAGTGAATCCGCACCTTCCTGAGCAGGCTGGGTTCATCGGGCCCCTGTCGGCGATCCATGAGCGATTGGGGGTCGATGCGTCCCCCCCCTATGCCCAGACATGCGACGTCCTGACTTTTTCAGGACGGCGTCACTGGAAGTCCCGACCCTTTGCCCGGGACCGGTTCTTCATCCCGAGTCGTTGCTTGGCGGTCCCGAGGCCCGGCGAGGGCCCCTCAGGGCCGAAGCTTGCCCCAAACCTCCCGCCCTGCGTTTTTCTTGCGGCGCGATCAGGTCTGGGTGCCTGCCCTCCCCCCTATCGTTGCCCCGTGCTCGGCTGCCCTGTCGCACGGCTGCGCTCCACGCGGGGCACGGACGGTTTCCCCCGGGGCCGCAGGCGACCCGAGGAGGAGGAGGGAGGAGGAGGAGGAGGAGGAGGGGCTGGAGGAAGGTGGAGGTGGAGAGGGAGGAGGAGGAGGGCAGAGAGGTGGAGGAAGAGGAAGGAGGAGGAGGAGGAGGAGGAGGAGCAGGTGGAGGAGGTGGAGGTGGAGCATGTGGTAAAGGGAGGAGGAGGAGGAGGAGGAGGAGGAGGAGGAGGGTGAGGAGCAGTGGGGGAGGGAGATTTGGAGGAGGAGGAGGAGAAAAAGGAGGAGGAGGGAGGAGGACGGCGTCCTCCCCCGTGCTCTTCAGCAGCCCGAAGGCCACGTCCACGGGCTCCGGCGGGCCCCGCCGGCCACGGGCGGCGAGGACGTCGTGCAGGGGCAGGGGCGCCTGGGCCGGCGGCGCCGAGCCAGCGGCCGCGCGCGGGGAGAGCGAGGGGGAGAAAGTGAGGGAGTCCCACTCGTAACGTTAAGTCGGGCCTCGTCCCCCATTACAGGGGGGATTGTCGACGAGACATTTTAATACAGTCAACCCCTACTCCAAAATTGCCCCCCCCCCCCCCCCCCCTAAAAAATATTTTTTTTTAAATAGTCTCCAGACTATTGTTTTACTATTTGGGAGTATCCCCCCTGTAGAGGGACAGGCCCGACTTGACTCAAGGGGCCCAAGGACACGCAAATGAATATACACACAAGCAACAGGATTCCCCATCTTTTACTATCTTTGGGGGATTTTCGTTTTTCCCCCCCACTTCCCAGATCTTCCCATATTTCCGGGGGAATCGACGATTCATTGTGTCTGTGCGTGTGTGATTTATCCCTCCTGGAGCACGCGGAGGCGTCTTCGGCAGCACTGCAGTTGGGATCCCCTCGGCTCCTCTGCCCAG